CCCCGCCCCCAGAGAGGAGGGGTCCGCCGGTTTGGGACGTTCTCCCTAGCTCCCAGGTAGGCCTTCTGCTTTCTGGCCGCCCCGTTCCGGGTCAGCTACAGCGGCTGCCAACTTGTACTCTCCAAGTTCTTCATCCTCTTCCCACTTCCCTCCCACCGCTTGGCGACCGGGGCGCGACACCTCCCGGGGCGGCTGCATTTCTAAGCAGTCGGGCCAACTGATTGTCAGGGCTTCTGGTCCACAGGGTGAGCCAGTTTTATTCCTAACAAGGGAAGAGTCGGGTCACAAACCCCATATTCCCGAGAAATTTGCGAGAGACGCGCAGCACACAAGTTACTCGCTTGGATGACTTTGCGGCTCTCGGCGTCCATGGTCTAGTGGGAGTCAGAGGAAAGTTAGGGAGCTCTGCCCTAGCCCCAAACCCGGGCCTGGGCCTGGAGCCTGGGAGCGCCCCTCCACGCCCGGGCCCGACAGCGCCCCGACCGCTGCGTCTCCAACTGCTGCAGCCGAAAACCGCCGCGTTCGAATGTGCGCAGCGTCCCCGCGAAGGTGTGCGTGCGAGTGGGCGCACCCGGCCAGCCCGAGGGCGCGTCCGGCCAGCCGGGGACCCCCACGCCCACTCTTCGGACGCCCAGCCAGCGTGCGGCTCGAGGGGCGCGCGGTGCAGAACTTTCTGGAACGCGCCGAGCCCGGGCTAAACTCTGGGAAGTCGCAGCCCCCCTCAGCGCTTCTAGCCTGGCTCTCCGGTAGCCGGGTGCGGAAACGGGGTGCCGCTGCGGGAACCGAAGGGGAAGGGGGCGCCAAGTCTTCCTACCTGTCCACCCCTCCTCCCCTGCGGTGCCCGCGCCCCCACCAGGCTCCGCAAAAACTTGAGCAAGTGCGGCGAGGGCCGACCCCCCCCCCACCCCCGAGGCAGAGCTCGCTCGCGTCTCGGGGGGCCCTCCACATCCTCGCCCCTTTGGAGGTGCGGGCCGCCGACTTACCTGGGCGGCGGAAGAGGAGACGACAGAGGCAGGTGCTTGGCGTGGGCAGCCCCCAGCAGGAGCGGCGCGGTCACTGCGGCCCCCAGACAGCTGTACCGAGTGAGCCGCCCAGCCGCCGCCCCCTCAGTTCTTAAACGGCCCGACCACGCCCCCGCCCGCAGCGGCCCGGCTCCCGCCCAGGGCCGCGCCTCCCGTCCAGGGCGGGCAGGGGCGGAGCCAGCTCCGCGGGAGCCTTCCGCCAGGTGCTGACGCCGAGGGCCGGGCGGAAAGGCGCCCGCTGATTGGCCGCTCGTCTCAATGGTTGCCGAGCGACGAGTAAATCTTCGAGGCGGGAAGGGGCGGAGGGGGCGCCGCAGGGAGAGCGCGCAGGCGCAATAGCGCGGGCTGTGTCAACATCCCAGAACTTCGCCGCAGCTGGGACTCTCTCGCTGCCCTCCGCGGCTCTCCCCTCTCCGCCTTCTGTTCCACACGGCGCCCGGTTTCGCACCGAGCTGCCCCCATCCCCGAGCGACTCCTGCACTGGCTTGTGGGGCTTCTCGGAACACTCTTGCCTAAGTTCTCCGTCCGGGAGCGGGGAGTGAAACTCACACCTCACACCTCCGACGTGCATTGGAAGCAGGAAAAATCTTAGGGTTTGGGGGTGCGGTGGGGGAGGAAACTTCCTGGTTCCCCAAGCAAATTGACCGGAGGCGAAGGGCTGGGCAGTGAGGTGGGGACCTGCGCCGTCGGAGGCCGCAGTGACCACCTGTGCGCAGTTGGTGGGAGTAATGGCGGGGCCCCCCTGGGGGGTCCAGCGCCAGGCCCCGCGCGCGCGGCGGCGCTGCCGGGAACGGGGCGCAGCCTGGTTATATAACGTGCAGGCGGGACTTGGACTCTGTGCTTTCGTTCCATTACAAGAGATTTTGAGTCCGGGCTCCAAATTCAGATTATCCTACGTTGGGATTGCGTTCACCACTTAACTCTCTGTAAGATCTTGGGCATGTAACTTAACCCCACAGAAATCTCCATTTCCGACCCCGTCTGATGGGGCTAAACAACAGCTTTGCGGGATTTTATAAGTATTAAGAAAGTGGAAAGCTGTTAGTGCCGCGCCGGATGTAAAGTGGGTGATAAACGCTCTATCAAGTAGTGGCTGGTACTTGTCAACATGCATCTGGCTCGCCCTGAATCTCGGGTGGGTGCTGGGGAAGTAACTTTTCAATTCAGTATTGCCCCTGGTTGCTCCCCATCTTTGCCAGTGTGGATATTGGGTTTTTTTTTTTTTTTTTGAATTTACAAAGCGCATATTCCACCGAGATTTAAATTTACAAGTTCGATAGCCAGTGAAGTTCAGAGCTTTTCGTAAGCGTTTTGAATGCGGGATGCCTGTCGGTAAAGTGGCCCAGGTGTAGGGCGTGGCCTGCCTTAATGAACCCCAGGGTTCTGTCCTCAGTCCGGTGGAAGTCCTTTGTGGAAGAGGTGTGGTATAAATATCTTCCGGTCTGGGTCTCACTTTTCATTCTTTCAATGTTCTCTTTTGGTGAACCTACATCCTTAATTTTTAAGTTTATTTATTTTATCTTTTTTAGAACAAGGGCTTTTAATGCTCTGTGTAAGATATTTGCCGGGAGCCTCCCTGGTGGCCTGGGTTAAATCCCTGACTGCCTGAGTTATATCCCTGCACCCACATGGCACAGCAGACCTCTCCTGTCTCCCCACTGCTCCCCCCAGCAGTGTGTTCCAGTAAATCTGCCTGTTCTACTCCCCACTTTTGTCTCTGGTGAATTCTCTCTCACACGCACACTCCCACATTCTGGCTGACACCCCAGATTTTGTATGCAAAAATAAAAAAGAAATAAACCTGTAAAGAGAAAAACTTTTTTTTTAAAGTATATTTGCCAGCTTCAGGCCATAAAGTTCATTTCCTTTATTTTCTTCTAGGAACTTGATTGTTTTAACTTGCACATTTAGAGCCATATGTCAGCTCAAAATAACCTTTTATACAGTTTGGATTCAGAATTATTATTTTTCCTATGTGGATGTCCAATTAATTCAGCACCATTGGCACTTCTGTAGAATGAATTAATGAATATTTGCTGAATGAAGAGATCAGTTCAAAACAAAGTGGTTACTTAAGGTCCAGTGTGCCCTAAAAAATTCAGGAAACACGGATCATAATATAATTAATGCAAATTATGACATAACCGAGGCCCTGGGGCCATTCCTAGCCTTGAAGTGCCTCCTGAATATCATTAACCTAGGGAGCCTCAGAATAGAACACTCGTCAGAAAGCCCTAACTAGAATTTCATCTGGCCTGACTGGGCACCACCTTGCTTAGGTAAGATTCCGTTCGGCCCCTTACAGTTAGTTGTGCTGTGGTGGGAGGAGCGGAGAACCAAGAGCCAGATAAAAATTCACTTTTCATATATGTGTATATATTTTTTCCCTGGGCACCTTTTTCTTCTGAGGCATTCTTTGATGTTTCTAGAACTTGTCTGGGTTTGTGGGGAGAGCGCGCTCTGGTCTGCTTCATGCTGCTTTTTCTGCCCATAAAATGGAGGCCTCTGCAGCTGGCAGCCTCGAACTCACCGGACTCTGAACACAAAGCGAGATACTGAAACTCTCCTTCAGGACCATGGGTGCCTCCTCCTCGTCAGATTCTACTTTCAGCTGGATCACAGCCAGTCAAAATAGTTTAAAGACTTCTGCATCCGAGTGGCTCACTGAGCTATAAACGGGGAAACCGAGGGAAGGAAAGCAGAGGAGGAAATAGTATTAAAATGTGTCCCCAGGGCCCTCCCTGGTGGCACAGCGGGTTAAAGCACAGCACTGAGAAGCGAAAGCCACTTCCGCATGAGTTCAATCCCCGCCCCGGAGGTGACCCACATGGCACGGCAGACCTCTCCTGACCCGCCTGCTGCTCCCCTCAGCAGTGGACTTCCTCGATCTGCCTGTTCTGCTCCCCACTCTGTCTCTGGTGAATCCTCTTACTGCCCCTGCACCTCTGGCCTGTACCCTAGTTCTGTAGGCAGAAATAAATCTTTAAAAAAAATGTGTCCCCCTTGTGGCAATGACTCTAAGAAAGTTCTGTCTCAACAGAATCTTACTTTCGATACTCCAGGGAGGCAAATACAGTTTCTCCTTTCTGTAAGGCAAGAAAAGCCTTGGTGGCTTGCCCACTTTTCCTGACTTACCTATTCCTTAATTCCTGAGTTGCAATACCAGATCTCAAAATGTATGCTCACCATAATACACGCGTATCACAACGCCCTCCGCTAAGTGTCTCGTCCACCCTAATGTGGTTTTTCAATAAAGTTTTATTGCCATATGTTGATAAACAGGGAAGCGGGCAGATCATCAGAGTCCACCCAGCTCCGTGAATGTTCACAAGCAAACAAACCTGGGTCCCCAACACGGAGCCGGAAATACACAGGAGCCACATGGCACGTGGGGACGTGTTTTCAATCCTCGGGGGAGGGACGTCCTCACAGCCACCCTCGGGGCGAGGGCCAGGGTATGGCCGGACTCCCTTCTTCCTAAACAGGACCCTCGCCCTGTCTCTTCTCTGGCTTCTTCAGGCCAATATTTTTCTTGGATGATGCAGTAAGAAAAGTAGGTCTAGAGTAAGCAGATGTATGTTTAATTTGGAGCAGAGCACAGGGGTCATGGACCTAGGACTGTCAGGTTTCTGGGGGCAGGGAGGAGGGAAGGGGTGATCTCTGGGCAGCAGGCTGAAGCATGGGCCACAGTGGAGGCGCCAGGGACCATGAAAGGGGTAAATGCCAGAGCGGGGGAGGAGGGCGGGGCACTTCAGAGAAAAGCGATGCCATGGTGGGGTGGGCCGCGCTGCGTGATCCGCTGAACCAGGTGTGTCCCGACACCTGCCCACCCCGATCGTGTCACGGGACGTGGGAAGCAGGTGCAGGCAGAGCAGAAGACATGGCAGTGGGCACCAGCGCCCTGCCTCTTAGGACCGCCCCGAAAGGGGGCGCAGGCTCATGAGCACAGGCACCTGTTTACAGGATTTACCTTCTGCTAACAGGGGGCGCGTTTCTCTTCACTGTCAGGACAGCTTGGCACACATGGCAGGTGAGAGCAGAGGCAGGGAAGCTGTCAACATCTTGCTGTGGTTCTCTTTCCTTCTGGGCCCCAACTCCTTATCTGAGGATTAATGTTTTCCAGTCTCCCTGCAGGGAGAATGGATTCCACGGAAGCGTAACTTGTTAACCGATCACCTCCTATGGCACGACCACTGAGTTCACTGAACTTGCCTTGCATTTACGACCTTTATAGGAGACTCTCTCACCCACGCAGAGCCTGAACCGCCCACCCTGGAGCCCAGGCCCACTGGCAGGAGGATACCCACCTGCAGAGCAGCTAACCCACCTTCACCCACCTGCAGAGCAGCTAACCCACCTTCCAGGTGGGGCTCTCAGTGTAGAGCGTTCACCTTTGCCTGCCAGGACTTTGAGTTGCAAGCAATCCAAACATATGCTGGCATTGATGGAAAGGTCACTGGGGGCTCACAGAAGCAGCGGGGTGGCTGGGGTCACGGGCTGTGAACGCTGCCACCAGGAGCTAAACTCACGGGTCACGCTGCCCACTTGGGCCAGGGAAGATGCCAGGGTCGCACAGACATAGGCGGTGTGAGGCTGTTGCTGCCTCTGAGGATGATGCACCAGCACTGACCCCCCCCTCCCCCTCCCCCCAATAATCAGAGCCATGGTCTCCCTGCTACCCCTCATCACCTCTGAGTGGGTGCACCTGTTAGCAGAGCCCAGCTCAAGCCCTCAGCCCTGATGGCAAAGATTCAGGTTGATATTTGCAGTCTTACGGGTGGGACATGAGTGCTACCTCTTCAAGTGTGTGCAGGGAAGGGGGGGGGAGGTTCTCCAAACAGGAAGAGGCGTAGGTTCTAGACGGTCAGAATATGTTCTCCCCTTCCAAGTCGAGTCTCTACATCGTCTCCTGCGAGCTTTGCTTGCTTGATTGATTGAATCTGCATGGTGCACTGGGATCAGCTGCGCCCAAGCTTCTGAAGCCTGCGAGTCGAAAGACCAGGAAAAAGGGTTCTTGAGAAGCTTTGAGGATGGAGGCCATCCAGACG